CCGGGGGTGGAGGAAGGTCCTCAGCTGAGAACATAAAGAGAGGTTGTGCTAAATCACACAAGCAGCCCATGTAAATCGGCATCCTCTCTCATACAGCTGCCAACCTGTTGCTCTGGAAGGTCAAAAAGAGCAAAGAGGCCAAGAATTCTCAACACGGCCATTCATACGGTGGTTCCATTTTAGCCACCTTGGCTAGCAGCTATTGAAGGACCAGTCTCTTTCGAATCTGTCTAACCCCTTTTAAAGCTATCTATGCTAGTGACCCTCCCAACATCCACCACATAATTTGTGTAGAAGCAACCCCAAGGAGGATATTAGATATTGACTGAACTCATTTATACCCAGCCTTTCACACACCCCCGGTGTGGACCCAAAAAGGCTTACACCAGGGGTGTCAAACATGCAGCCCAGGGGCCGGATCAGGCCCCTGGAGGGCTTCTGTCAGGCCCGTGGTGGAACTGGCTGTCTTCTGCTGCTGCTTCCAGTTCTGCTGCTGCTGTGTCATTGTAGGTTTGCGGCTTACAGATACACACCTGAACAGCCTACTCAAAATTGCAATAGCACAGGCATTTTGATGTAATAATTCAGAGCAAGAGGTATCCATTATTAGACATTGTTAAATAAACAAAATATTGCAAGAGTGCTAATGTTTTAAGCATGTTTTTGTTTTAAATAAAAAAACCCATTTGTGTCCTTTATAAAGTTTATATCTCCGCTACCTGGCATTACATTTTATGACATGCATGGCCCGGCCCAACAAGGTCTCATTTATGTCAGATCCAGCCCTCATAACAAATAAGTTCGACACCCCGTCTTACACTCTTCTCCTCTCCACCATTTTATCCACACAACAACCCTGTTGAAGGAGGTTAAGCCGAGAGCAGGTGACTGGCCCCAGGTCACCCAGCAAACTTCCATGGCAGAGTGGGGATCCAAACCGGCTCCTGACACACTAACCACTAGACCACAATGGCCCTCATTATATCATGTATTATATTATCTATATGACTGAGAGCCAGTGTGTTGTATTGGTTAAGAGTGTCGGGCTAGTACCTGGGAGATCCAGGTTCGAATCCCCACTCTGCCATGGAAGCTTAAGTAGGTGACTTTGGGCCAGTCGCCATCTCTCATCCTAACCTATCTCACAGGGTTGTTGTGGGGATAAAATTGAGGAGAGGAGAATGACGTAAGCCACTCTGGGTCCCCATTGGGACGAAAGGCGGGTATAAATGAATTACAACAAAGAAATACATTCTCAGACCTAGTCCATCATAGTGAAAGTAGACCTTTTCATCTGTCAAAGATAATGAACCTCAAAGTCCAATCAAGGTGGATAGCCATATTAGTCTGTCTGTAGCAGCAGAGAAGAGCAGGAGTCCAGGAGCACCTTAAAGACAAACAAAATTTATAGCAGGGGAAGAACTTTGTTGAGTCACCGCTCACTTCTTCAGATACAGCTAGAATGGGAGTCCATCTGTCTGAAATCAGACCCCTCTCCAAGAGAGAGAGACAGATGGACTCATATTCTAGCAGTGGAAAAGAGCAACAGTCCAGCAGCACCTTAAAGACTCACAAAATTTGTGGCAGGGGAGGAGCTTTCGTGAGTCACTGCTCACTTTGGATACAGCTGGAATGGGAGTCCACCTGTCTGCAATCACTCCACTCTCCAAAATATAAGGACAGGTGGACTCGTATTCTAGCAGTAGAAAAGAGCAAGAGTCCAGGAGCACCTTAAAGACTAACTAAATTTGTGGCAGGATAGGAGCTTTCGTGAGTCACTGCTGACTTCTTCAGATACAGATAGAATGTGAGTCCATCTGTCCTTCTATCTTGGATATTGCAAGAGTGCTAATGTTTTAAGCATGTTTTTGTTTTAAATAAAAAAACCCATTTGTGTCCTTTATAAAGTTTATATCTCCGCTACCTGGCATTACATTTTATGACATGCATGGCCCGGCCCAACAAGGTCTCATTTATGTCAGATCCAGCCCTCATAACAAATAAGTTCGACACCCCTGGCTTACACTCTTCTCCTCTCCACCATTTTATCCGCACAACAACCCTGTTGAAGGAGGTTAGGCCAAGAGCAGGTGACTGACCCCAGGTCACCCAGCAAACTTCCATGGCAGAGTGGGGATCCAAACCGGCTCCTGACACACTAACCACTAGACCACAATGGCCCTCGTTATATCATGTATTATATTATCTATATGACTGAGAGCCAGTGTGTTGTATTGGTTAAGAGTGTCGGGCTAGTACCTGGGAGATACAGGTTCGAATCCCCACTCTGCCATGGAAGCTTAAGTAGGTGACTTTGGGCCAGTCGCCATCTCTCATCCTAACCTATCTCACAGGGTTGTTGTGGGGATAAAATTGAGGAGAGGAGAATGACGTAAGCCACTTTGGGTCCCCAACAACAAAGAAATACATTCTCAGTCCTAGTCCATCATAGTGAAAGTAGACCTTTTCATTTGTCAAAGATAATGAACCTCAAAGTCTAATCAGGGTGGATAGCCATATTAGTCTGTCTGTAGCAGCAGAGAAGAGCAGGAGTCCAGGAGCACCTTAAAGACTCACAAAATTTGTGGCAGGGGGTGAGCTTTCGTGAGTCACTGCTCACTGCTTCAGATACAGCTAGAATGGGAGTCCATCGGTCTGAAATCAGACCCCTCTCCAAGACAGAGGAACAGATGGACTCACATTCTAGCAGTGGAAAAGAGCAACAGTCTAGCAGCACCTTACAGACTCACAAAATTTGTGGCAGGGGGTGAGCTTTCGTGAGTCACTGCTCACTGCTTCAGATACAGCTAGAATGGGAGTACATCTGTCTGAAATCACCCCACTTTCCAAGATATAAGGACAGATGGATTCACATTCTAGCAGTGGAAAAGAGCAAGAGTCCAGGAGCACCTTAAAGACTAACTAAATTTGTGGCAGGATAGGAGCTTTCGTGAGTCACTGCTGACTTCTTCAGATACAGATAGAATGTGAGTCCATCTGTCCTTCTATCTTGGAGAGTGGAGCAATTTTATACATAAAGACATATAGACTTACAATCCAGCTGTATCCAAAGAAGTGAGCAGTGACTCACCAAAGCTCCTCCCCTGCCACAAATTCAGTTAGTCTTTAAGGTGCTTTTAGAGCTGCGGTGGCTCAAGTGGTTAAGACGCTGAACTGCAGGTTGTGGAAGGTCAGTAGTTCAGCAGTTTGAGACCCGGGTGCCGCATGATGGAGTGAGCTCCCATCTCTAGTTCCAGCTCCTGCCAACCTAGCCGTTCAAAAGCAAGAAATTGTAACAGCGTTCCGTGCGCCTTGGTGTTTAGTCATGCCAGCCACATGACCACGGAAACGTCTTCGGACAGCGCTGGCTCTTCGGCTTGGAAACGGAGATGAGCACCGCAACCCTAGACTAGCTTTCGAGCAAGGGAACCTTTACCTTTACTTTAAGGTGCTTTTGGAGAGGGGAGTGAATTCAAACAGATGGACTCGCATTCTAGCTGTATCCAAAGAAGTGGACAATGACTCACGAAAGCTCCTCCCCCTGCCACGAATTCTGGGAGTCTTTTAAGGTGCTCCTGGACTCTGGCTCTTTTCCTACTGCTAGAATATGAATCCATCTGTCCTCCTGCCTTGGGAGAGGGGAGTGAATTCAGACAGATGGACTCACCTTCTCAGCTGTGCCTAAAGAAAGGATCAGTGACTTACCAAAGCTCCTCCCCTGCCACCAATTTGGGTTAGTCTTTCAGGTGCTCCTGGACTCTTGCTCCTTTCAAGGTCTAATGTGGTGCAAGGGCTGGGGTGGGCGAAGGTTCAAATCCAGCCACCACCACCACCACCACCCCCCTTGATATTCAGTAAGAAAAGCAGGCGAATACACAATGTGCACAGATCAAGAGGGCTGTGGAATTCGGCGGGCCAGCCCTCCCCCCTCCCCTCAACCCAATAGGGTTGTGTGGACCAGTTTTCCCTCTAAGCTGAGTTAGTGTGAGCTGGCTCACAGTTTTTTAGCCTCCAGCTCACACATTTCTGTCTCGGCTCAGGAAGGATGGCTCCAGAGCAAACTCATTTATGCAGCGGCCCAATTGCTCGCTCACAACTTTAATGCCAGGAGCTCACAAAGTAGGATTTTTGCTCACAAGACTCCACAGCTTAGAGGGAACATTGGTGTGGACCAAAAAAAAGGGGGGGGACCACGTGACCATCTCCAACGCCTCCAAGGAAAGGCGGGATAAGAAAAGATGACTCTGCGAGGCGCTGTGCAATATTAACCGGGCCTGGTGGGGGGGGGGGGGCGCCTGAGGCCGAGAGGGGCCTCTGGCACCTCAAAGCTCCCCCTCCCCCCTGAAATTCCCACAACACAGATGAATTCTGGGCCCCTCTTCTTCAATAGACATGGGGGGCCTTCCATATTCCCTCCCCCCCCCCCCCCCCCCCCCCTACTACTACCCACCACAAACTGACCTGTCACGGGGGGAGGGGGCTTCCCCTAGAGACTTCTGCCCCTTCACCCCCACTCGGCCTCCTTCATCCTCGCTCTTCTTTTTTTGGGGGGCCCCTCCACATGCCGCATCACCGCTCCCGTATCCTTCCGCCTGCCCCCCCCCACGACAAAGAACCCGGCAGCTCCTTTTTTTTTTTTTACGCGACGTCGCCACCCCTCCTCTTTTCCCAATCCTGAACATCAGGCAAAATGGGCGAAAGGGATTTTTGTAAAAATGTTAATCGCTGGGGATACGCGGGGACTATTTTTTTGTCTCGGCTTCAGCGGCGGGGTCTCGTCTTCGCACGCAACCGCGCTCGAAAAAGAACGTCCGTCGCCGCGAAGCATGCTGGGGGTGGTAGTCTCGACCGCGTTTGGGAGGCTCGCCTCCTGAACTACTATCAACGGCGTCGGCGCGAGAGTCTATTATCTGTGGAGAAACAAGCCACGCCCCCCACTCCTTCCCCCGCAGTTTCCCATTCTGGGTCCCGAGCTCTGTGCGCGCGCGCGTGCGCGTGCGCTCCAATATGTGTGTGGAGACACAAGCCACGCCCCCACCAGTTTCCCATTCTGGGTATCGAGCTGTGTGTGCGCGCGCGCGCGCTCGCTCCAATATGTGTGTGGAGAAACAAGCCACGCCCCCTCCTTCCACCCCAGTTTCCCATTCTGGGTACGGAGCTGTGCGCGCGCGCTCCAATCCCCGTCCTCTCGGGACGGTTGGTAACCCGAGTTGCGCGCGCGCGCTGAAACCTAACCGCCCACCACCACCACTCCTCCCACCCCCCTTCCCAAGTGTGAGCCTCCGTCTCGCCTTGGGCTTGAGTGACAGCCGAGGGACCCGAGATGCGCGCGCACTTCCGGAGCGCCCCGTCTGTCGCCCGCTCCTCCCCGAGCAAAACAGGCGCGCGCGCGGCGCCCGCTTTGGCTCGAGCGGGTGACGGTTGGCGTCTCGCGCGTGGGAGGGAAGGTTGAGAGGGGAGGGCC